CACTACACCTGGCTAATTTTGTATGTTTAGTAGAGATGGGGTTTCTCCATGTTGGCCAGGCTGGTCTTGAACTCCTGCCTTCAGGTGATCCGCCTGCCTCGGCCTCCCACAGTGCTGGGATGACAGACATGAGCCACCCTGCCAGTTCAGCGCCTTTAACTCAAGTGCTTGCTGAATGCAGCGGGATGTTTGCTGCCAATCACAGGGATACTTAGGCTTTTGAGGTTTGCCCTTCAATTACTGAAGGAAGAAAGGAATTCAAAATGAGGAGCCAGCATCCTTTTGTAAACTCCTTGAATGATTAACTGTATTTTGCCTGAAGATAGTGCAGCTGGGCTTCAGCTCTCCTATTTGCCTGTCCTTAGAAACTCACACCCCTGTCCCTGCCTGCCTGCCTGCCCGCCTGCCTTCTAGTGTGGAAAATTTGAAGCAGGCAGGAAAGTATATCCAATATGCAAGGATGAAGTAGCTGAAGAAAACTTGGTAAGGAGAAGTGAGGGTGGGAGATAGCGCAGCTGGGTGGGACAAGGACAGAGCCCTTGCACACTACTCTGTGGTCGTGCCTAGCCATGGGAGAGGCCCCTCCTGGCTCTCAGCTTCTCAGCAGCCAGGGAAAAGAGGGGAACCCAATCTATAATGGAAGGCACAGGGCTCATGGGACATATGATTAAGGCCAGTGGGTTTTCCTAGAGGCCCAGCTGTTTCTGACGCTGAGAGCTGAGAGAAATTTCTTCTGTAGACCTCGCTGAGAATACCTTCCTCACCCATCCCCATGTGGATAATGACATGCGTTTCCTCCTGCCGTGTCTTCCAATGGCCCAAGGTACAAGTTCAGAGGGGAGACAGTCCTCCGGGTGAATATGGAAAGAACGCCGAGCAGACAGGGAGCATTCCCCTGGTACTTTCGGATCATTTAGAAGACTTAGAGGTGTGAACGGATATCCTTCCAAATAACAATAGCACAGAATTTTGAGATGAGGCAGCAGGTGTGCCCATGGTGCTGTGTTGGGCATTGGGTGTCACAGTTAGAAGCAGACTCATTCCTTTGACCATTGTGTCAGGGAAGGATAAGCTCACCAAGTCTAGGGTAACAGTCAAGGAACCTGGTCTGGGGCTCCTCTGCTGCACTGTGGTGGGCCAAGGGAGAGTTCTGACACTCCAGGCTTCCTTGGAACACTGGGATTGCCTGACATATGGGCTATGAGGAGACCAAGCAGAGAGCGAGGCTGTGGGAATCTTAGCCTGGAAAAGCTTTAAAGGAGTTTCTGCAGTGGGCTTTAAAAAGCAAATGAGGCCTGGCGTGGTGGCTCATGCCTGTAATCCAAGCACTTTGGAGACCAAGGCGGGTGGATCACCTGAGGTCGGGAGTTCAAGACCAGCCTGACCAACATGTTGAAACCCCATCTTAAAATAAATAAATAATAAAAAGCAAATGAAAAACAATAGCAAAAGAACAAAAAGACGAAACCAGAAACCTCAGCAAAATTACTCTTAGAATGTCTGATTTCAAGCACTGACCCATCCTTGCTCTTCCTCAGTCCTCATTTAATCTTATTGGATATAGGCCAGGGTCTGTCTCTCCAGACGTCATCAGCCAGTGTTGCCAGTAACTAGAGAGCAGGAGCAGGGGTCAGTCGAGGCTTATTCTAAGATGAGATGATCAAAATATCAAGAATGCTTTTAAGTTATGATTCTTAATATGATGGTAACTAGGTATGCAGTGTGTCTGAAAGAGTCACCAGGCCATGAGACCCATCTGAAGGAAGCCGGGGATCAGAATATAACCCTCTTTATGTGATTTCAAGCTGCCACCCTGTCTGCCAGGGACTCATTCCCACCAGTCCTCACCTTTTGGTGACATGTTACCTGAGTGTTGTTAACCGGGGGCTCCCCTGAGTTCAGCGTTCCCATAGCTGCAGCTGTAGTTGATGGTCCCTAGACTCTGACAGGAGCCAGGCACTCTCAGGTTGGTCATGAGAGATTTCTCCACAAGGTGATAGAGGACAACAGTGATTATTCATGATGCTGATCCTGGGACAGGATGTTGGCTTGAAAACTAGACTTAAAATTTGTCAAGAAGACAGGTGCTCAGTTACCTCATAGTATCTGTGTGGCGAGGGGTGTTGGGGTTGCCTCTTGAGAAATGGACGTGATAGCAGTTTCCTCGGTTGGCTATGTCCACGGAGGTTTAAGAAAGCAAACAAGCTTGTAGCAGTGAAACCCCCAGATGAGGACAGACTGCACAATTCTGGTGGCAGAGAACCGTTGCCAGGAATTTTATCCAGTGTGTTCATTATCAGATAGTCTCTGTAAGGCAGGGGTTCCCCCCTCAGAGGGTCTGCTGTGTTCAGGGCTGTTCCCTGTGAGAAATGGGGGGCAGGCACCAGGAGTGGGGTGGGGTGGTAGCTCCCAGGAGATCTCTCACTGCTGCAGAGAGCCCTGGAAAGGTGGCCTCAGAACCACCTTGGTTCCTGTCCCTGAAGGCCAAGCGCAGATCTTCCCATAAACATACTACACTTGGCTGGGTGTGGTGGCTCATGCCTGTAATCCTAGCACTTTGGGAGTCTGAAGCAGATGAATCATGAGGTTAGGAGGAGTTCGAGACCAGCCTGGCTAACATGGTGAAACCCCTTCTCTACTAAAGGTACAAAAAATTAGCTGGGCGTAGTGGCGGGCGCCTGTGATGCCAGCTACTTGGGAGGCTGAGGCAGGAGAATCGCTTAGACTTGGGAGGCAGAGGTTGTAGTGAGGCGAGATCACGCCACTACACTCCAGCCTTGATGACAGAGTGAGACTCTGTCTTGAAATACATACATATATATAAGACTTAAGATTCTCGAAGCTGATAAAAAAAATATTGTACAGTTTTGTGAGACCACAGGTAGCCACTTGTTGATGGTTTCCCATGGCTCTGTCCCTGGCCAAACCACTGTAGAAGCTTTAGCTCAGGGATGTCCAACCTTTTAGCTTTCCTGGGCCACATTAGAAGAAGAGTTGTCTTGGGCTGCACATAAAATACACTAACGCTATTGATAGCTGGCAAGCTAATAAAAAGGTCCTGTGCATAATTTTTTTGGTATTTACTACAGATAAAATGTTGTTGGATTCAAAGGGTTGGACACAGCTTCTTTAGCCCCTCACGGCCTTTTCACCTTAGAAGCTGAGCAGCTACAGCATGTTAGATGATTTATGAAACATCTGCTGTTGGTAGGTAATCAGAGGTGAAATTTCTCTTTACAGACACTCAGTGTATAATTGGGACAGATCCCAGGTGGAAGGCCAGGTCCCTGGCAGCTTCTCCAGGTGGAAGGCCAGGTCCCCGGTCACTTCCCCAGGTAGAAAGCCAGGTCCCCGGTGGCCTCCCCAGGTGGAAGGCCAGGTCTGCGGTGGCTTCCCCAGGTGGAAGGCCAGGTCCCCGGTGGCTTCCCATGGCTCCTGCCCCCTTTCATTCTTCCTGCTCTGACTTCAACTATCTAATCCTGAGTCTATGTGAGTGCTGTCACAGCAGTTCTAGGAGTTGGCATGAGAGAAAAATGATCCCTGTCCACTCCGTCCTGGCTGTCTTTCCCCCGGACAGCCGTAAGCAGGAGTGGACTGCTTTCACACCATGTAACTTAGAACCTGGGTTGCTGGGGACAGAAAAGTGCATTTTTTTCCGTACTGATTCCTTGTGACTTCTGCTTACCTGTAAACTTGGTGAGGGACTCACTGTTCACGCACACAGAGCTGACCGGGAGGAGTGCCTGAAAACAGAGTTGTGCAGTTGGTCAGAAACTTGGGAAGAGCTAACATATTTAGAGGGTCTTAAAGCAAGTAGGGCTTTTTGACTCCTTGAAGGATTAATTTCCTTATGTAGTTTTCTCATTTGCTGTTTTCTCTAAGAAAGTTCAATCAGGAAATATATTATTCCCCCTTGTCAGTGGGGGATACGGTTCAAGACCCCCCAGTGGGTGCCTGAAACTGTCGCTAGTACCAAATCCTATATATACTGTGTTTTTTCTTATACATACATACCTATGATAATGTTTAATTTAGAAATTAGGCACAGTAAGAGACTTTTGAACAGCAATAACTAATAATAAAATAGAATAACTACTATAACAATATACTGTAGGAACAGTTATATAAATGTGATCTCTCTCTCTCTCTCTCTCTCTCTCTCTCTCTGTCTAAATATCTTACTGTACGTGTTTACCCTTCCTCGTCTTGTGAGGGTATGAGATGATGCAGTGCCCGTGGTGAGAGGGTGAGAGGTGAGTGACGTAGGTTAGGCCACTGTAGCCTCTGACATGCATCAGAAGAGGACTGGCTGCTTGGGTGACCTGGGCCATCAAGCCGTGAGGATGTCAGTGGCTGCAGGTCAGGAGCTGATGGTGTGGATGACTGACAGGCGGGCAGCATGGACAACACTGGACAGAGGGCTCGTTGAGGTTCTGGGCAGGGGGAGCGGGGCAGGCAGGTGTTTCCCCTTCCTCAGCCCCACACTGAGCTTCTGTGTGGCCACTGAGCGAGTCCTGGCACTGGAGGGCAGTGCTGGCTGGGTGGCTCACCGGAGAACGTTTCTTCGGGTAACTTGGATGCTTTCTTTCCAAGATGGTCCTTGTAAGAGGCTTCAAGCATCCATTAGAAGACTTTCCCCTGGTGATGGTTAAGGCAAAGCAGCCTGAGAGCCAGTGGTCATGTGGCTCAAGTCAGCTGGACAGTTTCTGTTGTTACTTGTGGCTGCCTGGTCCTTGTGAGGGGTAGGCAGAGGGAGCATGAGGGAGCAGAATCGCCTTGTTTCCGCTTTGCTGTAATGGAGGAAAGGATTCAGGAGCCATCTGTGACACATTGTTGTCACCATAAGAAAAGAAATCTACATTTTTCCAATAGTATTAACTTTGCCTCTGTTCACGTCTCTCATAGGGCCGGTGTGTCATGCCCACAAGCGATTGGGCCTGTGGGGTTCTGTTGTGGGTGGGTGATTTTACCCAAGGCTCCCTCTACTTTGTGTCTTGTAGAATGTCGTTCTCTCAGGAGGCTCCACCATGTTCAGGGATTTCGGACGCCGACTGCAGAGAGATTTGAAGAGAGTAGTGGATGCCAGGCTGAGGCTCAGTGAGGAGCTCAGCGGCGGGAGGATCAAGGTATGAGCCAGGGGCCTCCATGCGGTGCTGGGGGAGGAGGGCGGTTTCTGCCCTGGGCCTGACTCAGGCCTTCCTGACACAGTTTGTCTGGGCCACGTGAAAGAAAAACAAATGTGTGTCGCTTTCTGAGCTGCACTGTGACATTACCATGGAGGTTTGCTGCTGGAGCTCCTTCCAGGCTCGTGGTTCAGACCTGTGGTCCTGGTGACACAGCCATGGCAGCTTCACAGTCTCCCTGGTCATACCTGCCAGCAGTTGCCTTTTGTGTTGTACTCTTACGACATGGGGTGTAATGACCAGTGTCCACAGGAGATAGTACTAATTTACGGTGAGGATCTTCTCATGTCCTCCGGAAATGTTCTCATTAAATGAAAATAACTAATGTTAGCAGGGAGTTACAAGGCATCTCTCCAAGATAGTAATTCTCAGGCAGCTGGTGATTATCTTAGGCTTCTAACCAAGATCAGGCTTGGATAGGGGAGCTGGGGGCCAGGAAGAGAGTGCACGAGTCCACTGCTGGGAAAGCACAGCTTCTTTTCGTGTTTTGGGGATGGTCAGTCTTATTTGGGATGAACCCTACAGTGCCAGAACATCTGAAATGTTTGGTCAAAAAAAATCAGTGAGGTTAGTTGCTTGGATTTTGTACTTTTTTACTTTAATGCCCTCAGTGTTGTGAGAGGGCGGTTCTGCTTGCCGGGCGTACCATGTTCCTTTGAGCCTGGGGCTGGAATTGTGGTAGGTCTGGTGGGGGATTTGGCAGCACAGGCAGAGAGTCACTGAGTGCTGGGTGTGAGGTTGTACTTGTGCCACTGAGTGGGGGGTGACCCCAGGTGAAGCCATGGTCGGGTCAGCTGGAGGGTGACTGGATCACAGATGTGTCTGCACGTGTGCAGTAAGTGAGAGCTGCTTTCTCTTCCAGCCGAAGCCCGTGGAGGTGCAGGTGGTCACGCATCACATGCAGCGCTATGCCGTATGGTTCGGAGGCTCCATGCTGGCCTCGACTGTAAGTCCCTCTCTCAAGGGCTCCGTGTTTCCATTTCTGTGCTCGCTGTTGAGTTTGGGCAAATATCGTCTATGAAGGTGAAATAGTGTGCGCTCTAAACAGCCAATTCTGTAGCTATAAACTATATATATATATAACTTATTTTCTTTCTTTTTGAGACAGAGTTTCGCTCTGTCTCACTCTGTCGCCCAGGCTGGAGTGCAGTGGTGTGATCTTGCCTCACTGCAACCTCTGCCTCCTGAGTTTAAGCAATTCTCCTGCCTCAGCCTCCCAAGTAGCTAGGATTATAGGCGTCTACCACCACATCTGGCAAATTTTTTTGTTGTATTTTTAGTAGAGGTGGAGTTTCATCATGTTGGCCAGGCTGGTCTCGTACTCCTGACCTCAGGTGATCCACCAGCACTCTTAAAGTGCTGGGATTACAGGCGTGAACCACTGTGCCTGGCCCTATATAAACTATATCTTAATAATCACACAACACATTTATCAAGTATCCTTGGTAATTAGGGATTACAGATAACATGCTAAGTGGAATCCAAACAAATCTAAAAAAAATCCTGCATTAATCATTAATTCCAGTGACTTCTCCAAATAATTATTATTTTTCCCCCTCAAATTTGTGGATAGCTCACATGTTATTAGTGGGGGAGCAGCATTTGGTTGGTCCTAAGAAGATAGAGGCTGACAAAACTTTTAAAAAGTAAAATAACCCCCCGTTTAGTAGTTTAGTCCATCAAAGAGGTAACTCTTACAGCAGTGGTCCCGTGAGGCAGGGTGGAGGCTGGGATGAGAAGAGTGTCTTGCCTGCGTGGTAGTAGCTTTCCGACTCTCTTCTGAAGTGCGTTCTCTCCTTCTGCCTGTTGCCTCTGGTAGCCGGAGTTCTTTCAGGTCTGCCACACCAAGAAGGACTATGAAGAGTACGGGCCCAGCATCTGCCGCCACAACCCCGTCTTCGGAGTCATGTCCTAGTGTCTGCCTGAAAGCGTCGTCTGATGGTGTCACGTTGGGGAACAAGTGTCCTTCAGAACCCAGAGAAGGCCGCCGTTCTGTAAATAGTGACGTCGGTGTTGCTGCCGAGCAGCGTGCTTGCATTGCCGGTGCATGAGGCGCGGCGCGGGTCCTTCAGTCAAAGCCATTTATCCGTGTGCCGACGCTGTCTGCCAGCCTCCTCCCTCGCCCGCCCTCTTCCTCCTCCTCTTCCTCCCCCTCCTCCTCCTCCCCCTCCTCCCCCTCCTCCTCCTCCTCAGAGCTGCTAGCTAACAAATACAATTCTGAAGGAATCCAAATGTGACTTTGGAAATCGTCAGAGAAAACAACCTTAGAAAATGGCACAAAATCGTTGTGCACCAGGAGAGAATGTGGGGGCGCAAACCCTTTCCCTCCCAGCCTATTTTTGTAAATAAAATGTTTAAACTTGAAATACAAATCGATGTTTATATTTCCTATCATTTTGTATTTTATGGTATTTGGTACAACTGGCTGATACTAAGCACGAATAGATATTGATGTCATGGAGTGCTGTAATCCAAAGTTTTTAATTGTGAGGCATGTTCTGATATGTTTATAGGCAAACAAATAAAACAGCAAACTTTTTTGCCACATGTTTGCTAGAAAATGATTATACTTTATTGGAGTGACATGAAGTTTGAACACTAAACTGTATTGTATGAGAATTACTACAGATCATGTATCTTTTAGTTTTTTTGTTTGAACTTTCTGGAGCTGTTTTATAGAAGATGATGGTTTGTTGTTGGTGAGTGTTGGATGAGATACTCCCCTGCACCATTGTAATAAAAGCTGTTAGAATCTTTATAAATATCTTTCTGCTGCAGTGTGGTGGTCTTTTGGTTTTCTCCCTTGTCGCTGTGCTTCTCTTTTACATCATTGGCGGATTTGATTAACACCAAGTTTGTAGAAGGAAATTTTTTTTTTTTTTTGGTTGGGAGGGTGGATGGAGATTCACTCCTGTTGCCCAGGCTGGAGTGCAATGGCACGATCTTGGCTCACTGCAACCTCTGCCTCCTGGGTTCAAGTGATTCTCCTGCCTCAGCCTCCCGCGTAGCTGGGATTATGGGTGCCTGTCAGCACGCCTAACTAATTTTGTATTTTTAGTAGAGATGGGGTTTCTCCATGTTTGTCTGGCTGGTCTTGAACTCCCGACCTCAGGTGATCTGCCCACCTCGGCCTCCCAAAGGGCTGGGATTACAGGTATGAGCCACCGCACCTGGCCAGGAAATTTCTTTTTCTGAATGATGTGGATGGCCTGTTCTGCAGTGGTGTGGATCTGGATAACCCGTCAGAGATGGTTTTTGTGTCTAGGGTATAGTGGGAAGGAGTGCCTAATGATTTCTGATGTTCTTTCCTAGAAATTCAGGATTCATGGCTGTAAGCTTTCTGTAACTACTCTGATGTTTGCCGAATGGATTTCTAGCTTGAAAGGTAATTTGCTCAATTAATAGATGATTAGATTTATTTCACTCTTCATATAATTCTTATAATTATGTTACTTGAAAAACTGTTACTTATGGTATTCTAAGTTGTGAAGTATGTTTTTTTGTTCTTTTTTTTTTTTTTTCTACTTTCACTCTCAAAGGCGGCGAATGAAGTATGTTTTGTTCTCAGAAAATTTGCCTCCATAAAGAAATGTAGCCAGGTGCAGTGGTGTGTGCCTGAAATCCCAGCTCCTCAGAAGTCTGAGGCAGGAGGATCATTTGAGTCCAGGAGGCCAAGGCTGCAGCAAGCTAGCGTTGAGCCATTGCATTCAGCCTTGGTGACAAAGTGAGGCGCCATGTCTTAAAAACAGGCACAAAAAATGTGATGTTATTATTTGAGTTTAGAAATAAGTTTAATACTGAACTCAGTGTGGTAAAATCTGAGTTTACGAAACCTCAGTTTACCAAGTCTCTTCTGTTGTCACTGTGCTACGCCCTCAGTCTCCCCAGTCAAGAGTCTGGTACCACCTAGTTCTCCCCTCATCCAAAGTGTTTCTCTGCATTCCCTTGGGGATTTGCTGCTTCTTGGGATTGCTGGACCGTTGGCTTCTCGTGATCTGCTAGTCATTTTATTCCATCAAGTTCCCTATGGGTCTGCCTGCCTTTGGTCACACCTTTGCACCCTGAACATGGCAGTGACAGTTATTCCTTCGAACACCAATTTCCTCTTAGGTCTGTGTTATTCAGGGACCCACCTGATACTCCTACCTTCACCCCACCCCACTCAATTTAGCATGCTTTGCACACATCTCACAGTGGGCGCTGCCATTCCACCTCTGCACTGCATTTGTGCATGGGCAGGTGCTTTGTTGCGCCTTCTCCAAATCCCGGGAATAACGCCACTCTGCACATCAGTGCTGTGCCAGCCGGCTAAGCTAGAGCTGGATAACCTGCCCTTCCACCACCGGACACCCAAAGCTTCCATGTTCCTTGTTTGGAACAAGATGATCTTGGAGATTGTACGTCTGTTTGTCAACTTAAAGGACTGTAGGAGAACATTTTGTTTTAAACCTACATTGACAGGATAGAATGATCCATTAGAATGTGACAGGTATGGTGCTGTGGTTCCCAACGTCAGCCAAGATCCATCCCAGATTAAGAGGATCAGAATTGGGGCCCCACGGAGAGCATTCAGTTTTTGCTTTTTGTTTTTAAACCCGTTAGGCAATGCCAGCGTAGCTGGATCTGAAAGGCAGTGAGCACGAGGAAGGGTTTTTGACTCAGGAAGATCTGAGTATGAATTCTGGCTGTTCCTTAATCAAATGAGATCCTATTTTCTGTTTGCTCATCTGCGGGAGAACTGCAGTGGTCCTTTTGCTGTTAATAGAGGTGAGTTACAATTTTTTGTTTATTCAGTAAGCCTGGCAGATACCTTGTATAGAAATGACTGTGATTCTGCAATGTGCATTAGTCATTTTATAAGGAAGAAAAATGTTAACAGCTAAGTTAGTAATTTTGATAAAATCTGCACATACCTTTTTTTCAAGTTGAATGAATTAGCTCTAGATCATACTATAGAAATGAGTTAAGCATTCCTAGAGTTAATGAGTAGAGTCGACCTCCCATGACAAAATTACAACTCCAAGTGAGCAGTCCTTTATAAAAAACATTTCACCAAATATACTTGTTAAATTCTAAAATTACAAGTCTACAGTCTTTAGGACTATTAAAACAACACTTTCAATAGTGCACATTGTCGTGTGGTGACGAGTACCTGTAGTCCTGCTACTGGGGAGGCGGAGGTGGGAGAATCCATTGAGCACAGGAGTTCAAGGCTGCAGGAGCCAGGGTCGTGCCACACACTGCAGCCTGGGCTACAGAGTGAGACCTTCTTAAAAGGCGCAGGAAGTTGCTTTCCCATATTTAACAGATTTAGACATAAACTCAGCTTTATGATGGTGAGAATATTATATGAATGGCCTTAAGTTTAAAAAAATCTGGCAAATAGTATGTGAGTATTTGACAAACGTTACCTTTCTAACAAGATGATGGCTGGCTTAGAGCTGCTCTTTCCAGCATAAAACCCCTGTGGGAACAGCCTCTCACTTCTTTTTTTTTTGAGACGGAGTTTCGCTTTTGTTAACCAGGCTGGAGCGCAATGGCGCGATCTCGGCTCACCGCAACCTCCATCCACATCCCAGGTTCAAGTAATTCTCCTGCCTCAGCCTCCTGAGTAGCTGGGATTACAGGTATGCGCCACCATGCCCAGCTGATTTTTTGTATTTTTAGTAGAGACGGGGTTTCACCATGTTGACCAGGATGGTCTCGATCTCTTGACCTCGTGATCCACCCGCCTTGGCCTCTCAAAGTACTGGGATTACAGGCGTGAGCCACCGCGCCCGGCCAGCCTCTCACTTCTTTGGGAATATTCATCAGCTGCTCCTGTGGGCTTTAGCTTCAGTTTTATGAACTTTTAATCCAAGATGGGATTAAGGAACACGAAGCTTATGAGTTTTTTTCTGCATCTGGCGAGGGTTGGGGAGAAATCACAGCGAGAGAGATGGAGGCTGCTGAAGTGGGAGCGGTAGAAAGGGACCCTATCAGGGTTGCTGAGGAGGGGGAGGTGACCGCATCCCTGACAGAGGGAGGAAGGGGAAACACAGAAGGCACCCAGTGCTTGCATTGACCAACTGCAGGTGGTTGGTGGACTCTCTCCTGTTGAGTTTCCACTTCCATGTAACCTAAATGCAGGAGGGAAGAAGGCAGAGGCTTTCTTAGGGGTTGGGGCTCAGGTTTTGCCAGGCAAGTGTGATGGTGGATGGAGCAGGTGTCACGGGGGCAGGTGTAGACGGGGTTCTCTGTTGCTAACATGATTGACCACAGACTCCAAGTAGGGCAGGGAGCAGAGGGAGATGAGAGATTGGGAGGAATGAAGGCGTCTGAGGACTGGAGGCCCTGGGCTTCAAGGTTAGGAGCTTGTGGTCCTGAAGAACGATGCTGGATTAAGATTTTGGAGGTGGAGAGTCATCGGAGTGGTCATTGTGTAGAGGCTGAATTCACTGGAAATGGAAGAATGTAGGGAATTTGCAGAGATGGGTTGTCCAGTGGGTGCTGGCCCATGCAGGAGGCTGTGGGGGTGGAGACGAGAGCAAGACTGGTCCAGCTGCTGAAGTCCTGCCTCAGTCTGGGCGGTGGTAGGAGCTGAGCACCGACTGTGAGCTGGGCACTGCACTGGAGTCCCCTGCGCCGGGCATGACACCGCACAGCCTCCTCTCATCTGAACCACAACCCTGTGAAGCTGGTATTGCTATTCCCATTTTCCAGATGGGAAAGCTGTGGCTGAAAGAAATTCAACAACCTGCCAAAACCACACAGCCAGGAAGCCGAGGAGTCATATTTAATGTATTTTCAGCAGTCTTGTAGAGGTAGGTCATAGCAACTGGTGAGAGACCAGGTGGTGAAACCCAGTGACACGAGTCTGTGCCATGATTTCATCAGATAGTGGGGTAGAAAGAGTTTGAGCGCCTTCAGATGTTGTCATCGTTACCTTAAGAGTTTAGTGGGGGCCGGGCGCGGTGACTCACACCTGTAATCCCAGCACTTTGGGAGGCCAGGGCAGGCGGATCGTGAAATCAGGAGTTCAAGACCAGCTTGGCCAACATGGTGAAACCCTGTCTTTACTAAAAATACAAAAATCAGCTGGACATGGTGGTGCATGCCTGTAATCCCAGTTACTTGGGAGGCTGAGGCAGGAGAATTGCTTGAACCTGGGAGGCGGAAGATGCAGTGAGCTGAGATTGTGCCACTGGACTCCAGCCTGGGTGACCGAGCGAGACTCTGGCTAAAAAAAAAAAAAAAAGAGTTTAATGGTACCATAAACTCTAACTCCTGGGCCTGGACTCCAGGAGGGTTTCGGGAACCTGAAGAGTAGAGGATCAAGCCTGTCAGGCTGCAGCCCGCCCTGTAGTGGGTTTCCCTGCACTCTGGCCACCATCTGCAGTGCCGTCAGCCAGAGGCCGGTGGAGCAATCACCCTGCAGAATTCTTGAAGACGTAGCTGTGTTTTATGGCGGTCGTAGCTCATTCCTCAACTTTACTCATATGAATAATGAGCTCTCGTTTGACTGAAGTGCAGCTCGTTCGGTGATTAATTCGTTCTTTATGATCCCTCCTTTCTGTCTCATTTGTAGAAATTACGATTGTGCCAGACAGGCTTGTGGGGTTAGTCAAGTGCACAGCTTATTGAAAACCGTAAGAGAGGCCCATTAAGAATATTTATCTGTTAAATAATTCTTTACTTCATTGAAGAATATTTCATAATGTTTCCTTTAAAAGGAACTGTCAGCCTTTTTATATAGAAATATAAATTGATTGGCAAAATAATTGCAT